TCATTGTAGCCGCAAGAAATTCTTCTTCGTTAGGTTATCTAAGACGGCAATGAAGGATATGCTTTCTGTTGTTGGTGAAAACGCTGGACCGAATGTTTCAATAAAAAAACAAGTAAGAAAGTCTAAGTTCGGGCGGAGCCGAACCTTAAATACCCGGCGCAAGTATTAAATATATGTTTTCCACCTTTCCGAAAGCTACCGCTACATGATAAGCCGGGGTGTATACATTTTAAGTAAATTAGCGTCCTTAAATTTCGAAATATTGTAATTTCAAGCATTTCTGAAATTTACCGTTATATGAAAAGCGGCCTCAATTTTAGTCCGATTTCAACAACTTTCAACGGTTTGCTTTTATGTGGCAAGCACAATAACCATACCGAGCTTGGTACAAATTGCTAGAACGGTTAGCGAGATACATATATGTGATCACAAGTGGGCGGTGCTACGCCCATTTTCGAAAATTTTGTCATAAACGTATTTCCTGGTAAAGAATTGTTGCAATCATCAATTTTGAATAAATTAGCTTCAATATTTACTGATTTATCGAAGATTTTGTATTTCTCGAAATTACCGTTATATGGGATGTGGGTGTAGTTGTTGTCCGATTTCGCCCATTTTCAATACCATCCGTCCTACGCCCAAAAGAAGTTCACGTACCAAGTTTCGTTAAGATATCTCAATTTTTACTCGAGTTATCGTGTGCACAGACGGACAGACAGACGGACGGACGGACGGACAGACAGTCACCGCTTAATCGATTTCTCTTTTCATTCTGATCATTTATGTATACATTTGTCTATATCTATCTCGATTCGTTTTGCCTGTTACAAACAACCGTTATGTGAACAAAGTTATAATACCCTTGTGCACAAGTGCGCTCGGGTATAAAAAAAAAAATTTTTTGGGGGGCGGACGAAGTTCGCCGGGTCTGCTAGTATATATATAAGGAGTCTTTATCTAAAGGGATAAATTGCTTAAAAATCTGTATTATATAATTTATTTCGCTAGTTATGTTTCATTCTTACCTCGTCCATTGTGTTCATTTCCTTTTTATGTGTTCGTAGTTAAAGCGACCCAGCTCTCAACCTGCCAGGATCGACTTTTGCTGAAATTTATACATTTATCCACCAAAATCGTTTGATAAAGTGCTAAACTTTGGTTAAATAGCTTTCCATACAAAGTTTGACAGTTCATTTATCAAAATAATAAATTTATCATTTTATCAAGTTTATCAGCAGTTTATCACTTAAGATGAAGGTCCCTATAGATTATTTCTATTGCTTCTACCTGTTTTAATGTACCTTGACTCCAACCGACATTCCATTTGAATTTGAGTAATTGCAGTTTCAGGTCCGTTTATATTACCTTGAACGACAAATTTAATTTCTTGGAAAAAAATACACCCGAATATTTGTCATAAATTCATGCAGCTCGACCACCAAATACTAGATTACTACATACATTTACAATACCAAAACAAAAATATATTTATTATTTTATTTATAGTACACGTGCTTAGAATATACTTTTTTATTCACATTTTCATTAAAAGAAATCTGGAATGATCAATTAACTTGCTCGAAACTATCAGATCTATCGAAAACTGTTTTATATACCGTCGTCTGGGTAAAAGATTGTCGTATCTTGATTCGGCAGGTTGTGGGAAATCGCGGTTGAAGTTTGGAATTCAATTTCTCAAAAACGCGAAGATAGATATTCTCCAAAGTCTCTGAAAATGTTACTAGTTCACAAAATTATTAAATTAATTATTATTTTTAATATTTAATATTAATTAGCTTTGAGTTTATGAAGGATTTTCTTTATTAAAATTTTGTCGTAAGCGTCATTTGTCCACAATTTGGCAGCCACTTTGTATGAAATACGACAAAATGTGATCAAAATTTCTACTAAATTAACGACACATTTTACTCAATATCTCAGAAACTAAAGGAGATATCCGAAAATGGAGAACGTAATTTTTAAGATATTGATTAGTTTAATATGGCTGCACCACTAACTAAATTTTTACTAAATTATAGAAAAAATTGTAGTCAATATCTCGGAAACTAAAGGATCAAAACTGATAACACCAATCGAAAGACCTTATTTCAAAATATATAACTGCATTTAGAACTAAAAATCGTCAAAATTGCGCTTACGAAAATCTTTTACCCAGGCGACATACGGTGTATGAAGAATTTCCTTAGCTTTCATTTGCCGTATTTCATAATAAAATGTTAAATTCGTTCGAAAGATAAAGGTATTTAAGGACCAGTTTTTCAGTGTTAGGTTAAACTTAGATGAAGTAAACTGAGTTTAAATTGAATAGCTGGCTGGCATTTGATTGGCCGATCTTAGTTTCAACCAGCCAGATCGGGAGTTTAAACTGAGTTTAAAGCATGGCCGTGCATTGAAAAACTGGCCCAAAATGGAACCACTTTTTGTTTTAAGTTGAATAACGGTAAATTGAAAATATCTCCAGAACTTATCCATAGAATAAAAAACTAACTAGATTTTTGGAATCAGCGAGCAATTCTATATGGCAATTGAAAGTAGCAAACATTGCACATTTCTTCTACAAACCAGTATTATCGCCACGAAAATCTAAAACACTATGCTATGGTATTTAAGTACTTTTTTGCTGATTAACTACATTACATGATTAATCACGTTGACGTATGCGTTCCAACAGTTCAGCTTTCCAACGTTCTTCCGGCACTCCTGCAGCCCAATCGGGCACCACCGCGTTCGGTAGAGTAATATTCGCCATGACATTCAATATCTACAAAAATATACTTGCATATGTATTTTCTAAAATTTGGTAAGGGCATAAGTGGCTGCTTCTTTAAGAGCTTACCTGTGTCGTTTTTGAGTTGTCTAATTCCAATTGCAATCATTTCTGTTTAAGCTATTCAGTTTTTATCGTTTAGGTTATTACCAAAATAATTCTATTTTGGTTTTTAACGAAAAGAAATTAAATCGTTAATGCTGAAGCTGTAATGCATATAACGGGTGATTTTTTTGAGGTTAGGATTTTCATGCATTAGTATTTGACAGATCACGTGGGATTTCAGACATGGTGTCAAAGAGAAAGATGCTCGTTATGCTTTGAAATTTCATCATGAATAGACTTACTAACGAGCAACGCTTGCAAATCATTGAATTTTATTACCAAAATCAGTGTTCGGTTCGAAATGTGTTTCGCGCTTTACGTCCGATTTATGGTCTACATAATCGACCAAGTGAGCAAACAATTAATGCGATTGTGACCAAGTTTCGCACTCAGTTTACTTTATTGGACATTAAACCAACCACACGAATGCGTACAGTGCGTACAGAAGAGAATATTGCGTCTGTTTCTGAGAGTGTTGCTGAAGACCGTGAAATGTCGATTCGTCGCCGTTCGCAGCAATTGGGTTTGTGTTATTCGACCACATGGAAGATTTTACGCAAAGATCTTGGTGTAAAACCGTATAAAATACAGCTCGTGCAAGAACTGAAGCCGAACGATCTGCCACAACGTCGAATTTTCAGTGAATGGGCCCTAGAAAAGTTGGCAGAAAATCCGCTTTTTTATCGACAAATTTTGTTCAGCGATGAGGCTCATTTCTGGTTGAATGGCTTCGTAAATAAGCAAAATTGCCGCATTTGGAGTGAAGAGCAACCAGAAGCCGTTCAAGAACTGCCCATGCATCCCGAAAAATGCACTGTTTGGTGTGGTTTGTACGCTGGTGGAATCATTGGACCGTATTTTTTCAAAGATGCTGTTGGACGCAACGTTACGGTGAATGGCGATCGCTATCGTTCGATGCTAACAAACTTTTTGTTGCCAAAAATGGAAGAACTGAACTTGGTTGACATGTGGTTTCAACAAGATGGCGCTACATGCCACACAGCTCGCGATTCTATGGCCATTTTGAGGGAAAACTTCGGAGAACAATTCATCTCAAGAAATGGACCGGTAAGTTGGCCACCAAGATCATGCGATTTGACGCCTTTAGACTATTTTTTGTGGGGCTACGTCAAGTCTAAAGTCTACAGAAATAAGCCAGCAACTATTCCAGCTTTGGAAGACAACATTTCCGAAGAAATTCGGGCTATTCCGGCCGAAATGCTCGAAAAAGTTGCCCAAAATTGGACTTTCCGAATGGACCACCTAAGACGCAGCCGCGGTCAACATTTAAATGAAATTATCTTCAAAAAGTAAATGTCATGGACCAATCTAACGTTTCAAATAAAGAACCGATGAGATTTTATACGTTTTTTTTAAAAAAAAAGTTATCAAGCTCTTAAAAAATCACCCATTAGGTGCTAAATGTTAACAGTAAGCTCGCAACGGCATACAATAATAACTTTTCGTTGATTTATTTTGTTTCAATGTTACCGATTGATGATTTTTTCGTTTCAACGTTAACGATTGAGTTTTGTTTCGTTAGTTTAGCTCTGA